CCCAGCTTATCGCTTAAAGCAGTGCCGAGGCCCAGCTTATCGCTTAAAGCAGTGCCGAGGCCCAGCTTATCGCTTAAAGCAGTGCCGAGGCCCAGCTTATCACTTAAAGCAGTGCCGAGGCCCAGCTTATTGCATGGAACCTTCATTTAAAGCAGTGCCGAGGCCCAGCTTATCGCTTAAAGCAGTGCCGAGGTCCAGCTTATCGCTTAAAGCAGTGCCGAGGTCCAGCTTATCGCTTAAAGCAGTTCCGAGACCCAGCTTATCGCTTAAAGCAGTGCCGAGGCCCATCGTATTGCAAGGAAGCCTTGCTTAAAGCAGTGCTAGGACTCAGTTCTGGCATGTTTCAGGGGGGCCATTAAGGGACGCCAGATCGCGCCTGTGCTCCAGCTCACTTACCAAAGGCATTGCCAAGCAGAGCTCCTCTGGGTCTAACGGGAAACCTGGCAGCTGTCTCTGGTGTTCGGCCGCGTCCAGCTTGGTGCCCTGCCAAAGGGGATGGGTGGGTGAGCACGCAGGCGAGGGGGGCCTCGTCCTACTCTCTCGCTGACTTCTTCACGTGAGCTGCTTGAGACCTGGGCTCCGGCTTGCGTCCTGCTTCAAGAATGCAGACATGGGGGGGTCAGGTGGAGCCCATGCCTCTTTAGCAAAGGTTTGACAACACAGATAAGTTGCTCCTTTTAACCCAAACTAGCTTATAGTGTCTGGTGATGTATCTCAATCCAGTACCGACGTCAGGATTTCGGTGGAAACATGACTTCAACATAACAAACACACTGTACTTAACTGCAGATTCAAAGATTGTCAAAGCAATACAATAAACTTTTAGACAGCGGGAGCGAGGGGGACAGGTGACACAGAACAGATCCATACAACCCTTTGCATAACAAATCACTGACATTATGTAATGCATAATGGGAAGGACAGAATGCAAAGCCAACCCCCCCTCCCCCACACACTCCCCACAGGGCTGCCTAATTACATCACCTCCCTGAGAGCATCAGCAAAGTCAACCCCCTTTCTCACTGTCAAGACAGCAGGTCACAAAGCATGGGCCAGACCGGCCAGCCCTGCAGGGGGCAGTGTGAGCGGTGGAGGAGCGGGCCTCAGCCCCCCGCCCTCTCTCCATGCCCGGCAGGCTGGCTGTGGTGTGCACCACGGCTCCGTCTGCTCGTACGCGACGCCGCCTTGGCGGGGAGGCACATGACACGCATGACTGTGAGCGCCAAAAATAAATGGGCCACTTCTGCCGAGTCGGAGCAGAGCGTCTGGGCAGCATGATGGTTAATGCAGCCTGTACAAGTAAAGTATGGGCAAGTCCTGCTGGCACTCCCGATTACCAATTTACTGCCACTAGGTGGGGTAGTGGTTAAGTTTCTCATTTCTCAAACTTCCTTAACAGAAACAACTACAGAATATTGCTCACGTGTGACATATATGTATGTTTAATGAAATGTGCAATTCTTTACCTGGTCGGGTTCATTGGTGTCATTTACAAGCAAACATAAACTATGACCATGATTTATTATAACAGACATGAAACAAGCTTTAATGCAAGCTGCGTCTCTTACGATGTGTCACTGCTCCTCGTGCGGTGGTGAAATCCCCTGCTACTATTAGAGGACACAAGACACTACAATTATGACCAAGAAGTAAAACTAGGGTCTGAATAAGATCCCTCCCCTCCGCTAGCTCTCCCTCGGAGACATTTAAAATAAGAAAAACAGCTTTTCGACTCAGCACTGCAGAAACGTCATCCTCAAATGTGTTCTGAATTCAGTAACCATAGCAGCAGAGGTTGGGCTTGAAGGTGGGGTCCACTTTCATGGAATTTGGGTCGGGGACCATTCGGATTTTTCTAATGAATCTGGCTGGATGACATGCTCTTGTGTAGGATTGCACAAAATATGATTTGATTTGTGTGAATTTGCTGGGTTGGACGGCAACATGAATTTGCCAGTAATTCAGCACGTTGTGTCATTGCTTGGTGGGCTGCACCGGCGTGTTTAAGGTTTAGACACTGCACCGGCGTGTTTAAGGTTTAGACACTGCACCGGCGTGTTTAAGGTTTAGACACTGCACCGGCGTGTTTAAGGTTTAGACACATGGCTTGCCACTTCATTCCAAAAAGCAAAGATCCTCTTTGCTTAGGCACATCCGAAACAGTCAGCAAACCACACTCTCTCCATCCCTTCCGAAGTGCTTCAGCTGACATTTTAGAAGTTCTTACATCTCAAAAATATTTTGTTTTATTCTCAAGAAGCTCAGGTGAGGGGGGCAGACATGCCAGAAATCCGTGCCCTAGAGGAGTGTACCCCGAACACTGAGACGTTCCTGGAAAGTCAAGCCGGAGCCCATGAATTACCGACTGTACGCAAACATAAATTTCACCACTCACAGTGCCAGGAAAGACAAAAAAAACAGATGAGTCAATCGTAGAAGCATAGGTATAAAATAATGGAAGGCCTCCCCTACTGACAGACATCCTCATGGGCTTCTAAACACAGGGTCCGGTTCCTTCAAACTTCTGCTAGTTAAATCTTTTGTCCCCCGGTAAATTCACACCCATACACTATGCTGAAAAAGATGGATAGTCACAGCTAGCATCCTGGTTTGGGTCTGTAAAAATAACACATTCATTCACTAGGCACGAGCCCAACAGCGTTAAAGGTGTCTTGCAGGGCCGAACTGGCACCAGTTCCAAAAGTGTACTTGCTAATTACCAACAAAAATAAACTAGGATGGCAGAAACTCCGACCGACCTTTTGTAATTGGTTTAGGAATGCATGGAAGGCAGTGACGACTGACCGCGTCCATTTCCACAGATGAAGGAATCCGCAGATGGGCCAGGGAGAGAGACTCCTTCACATTCTGCAGACGGTGGAGGAAGGACAGGGCAGAGGGAGAGAAAGGTACTCGCAGGAGGACAGTGATCACCCTGATCCGAAATGAGCCAGTTGCACTCTTGCTGAGTTCCCCCTGCCCGACCAATGGTTCCATCCAGGACCAGCCAATCCTGATAAGTATCACCCCCAACTCCGCCCTTTGCCGGGCACCCATGGCAAGAGTGTCATCTTCCAATTAGTCCACCGCTCGCTTGAGTTCGTCTTCCTTATTTCCATACAGCCAAATTTCCGGGGAACCGTCAGCGCTGAGCCTGTGGTGCTACGCACACGCGCACACCAGGTGTGACTCGAGATGTGCCACAGCGAGGCTTCTGTACACACAATAAACCAGTTCCTCCCAGTTTCACTTCCCCAACACCAGCAGACGTGAAACACACAGATACGCAGGACAGCCCTCATGAGCCGAGAGCAAGCGAGGCGTCCCGAAGACTGTGGTGCTCGTTACGGTACAGGACGCAGTCGGCACAGGCACCTGCAACACTGGCCAGGGACCAGACCACCGAGGCAGACCTCTGTGATGCACAGTGCGACTCGGATCTGCAAAGACGAACATCACCACCTCCACTCCTGCCTGCAGGTTTTACGTGGCTGGGAATGGACGCATGGCGTTTTTAAGTGGCCCGCGTCCATGGAAACACCGACTAAACAATGGTTCAATGGCAGTAGTGCACATGGGGAGGAAATTAAATCTCGGGCCCGGGCAGCAAGAGCAAACAAAACCATGCTAAGTAGAAGATGGAAGGCACAGAGGCGGTTTTCGCAATGGCGTGACACTGTTAGGCTGTGTGCAGGTGAATTTCAGCTCAGGTAGGCAGGAGGGCTACTGTGCCAGTCAACAGCATGCGTGTGGGGCCATTAGCAGGAGCCCGGAGCGAGGAAGACTCTGCCTGCCCTCCTGGACCTCACCCGGCCGGGCAGACGTGGCTGCCTT